TATTACTGATGCTAGTCGCATATGACAATGCATGCTTCATTGATGAGTAAGCAGTTAAATAAAGCTCCATTAAGATAACAGTTTCTTATGCAACCAATTCTAAATAACCTGAAGAACAAAGAATAACTTTATTCAAGGATACTCCAAGACTGCTGTTAAGAGACATGCTTTAAAATAATCAAAATAGGAATATGATGTTTCAATGTTACTTTTCTAGTACATATACCAATCAGTAATCAAGGTGCCTTGGTGTCAACTTGACTTCAAAATATCATATGCACCGTATTTATTAACAATTTGATTGAATTGAAAAATATCAACTCAACATAACAAATAGCAAACTGAATCTCAGAGCTTTGATAATCATCATGTTATACAAAAAAGTAACGAAACAAACATCAATTCTCAAATCAGAATAATAATCAAAAACAGGAAATGTCAGCATTCCAACAACCAAAGAAGATAATTATTCAAAGAATCAAGGTTTTCATAACTCTTCAAGTATTCACAAAAAGTATCATGGTATGCTTTTGAATTTCCAATCAAAATGACAACTGAATTTAAGGACTCCGGTCGGTGGTTTATGCACGCTGTCATTTATGTTCAACAATATATATTTCTTCTACAAACGTCAAAAAATGGCATAACAAATTGCAAAGTGACACTTTTTTTCAGTTATCATGACACTATACTACTTTAGAACTGTATTTTATGACGTTTGTAGAAAAAATGTTGTTTGCCTCGTTAAAAAAATCAATTCTCGATCACCAAAGTAGCATTTCACGCACAAGATACAAAAATAACTATTTTCTCTCAACTTAAACTCTTATCTGAAAACAGGAATTTCAACTCATAGCCTGATCAAATTATAAAATACCGTAGAAGGTTAGTAGTACCTCTAAACACATGAAATATTTCGAATATTTCTTTGAAGTCGGTATCCATTCTTTCAAAGACTCATTTTTATCAAAAGTATGGAGAAACCAAAAGCACACACTTCAAGTTGATAATCTTGATTCTTAGCCTGCATAATTATTTCCTGATGTCAAGAACAACAAAGCATTAGTGAAGAAGTATCATCAATGTTTTTTGTCCCTTGCCACATTATGAAAAATGTTCAAATCATGCTCAAATCAAATTTCATTCTTCTACAACTGTTGAAAAAAGTTGACTTGTTTATATAGATTATGTATGTAAATTAAGCCTTTTGTATGGAATATATGGAATAGTGAAAACGATAATTTAGTTCAAGACAAATGGCAAAATTCAAAAATGTATGAAATGTATTTTTGTTGTGATAAAGGCGACAAATAAAGCCAAAATTCAAAGCCTCCTATTTCAACAGTTATAGAAACAATATTGTATGCAACATGTGAGTGAATTTGTTTCATTTACTACAAGAAATAATTTTATACACAACTGATATATAATATATCTAGAAAAAATATTTCGTTTGAAATAAAAAAAGTTGATCAGACTTTCAAACTGAAAGTTTAAGTTTCTTTTTGATACCTACCAGTTAATTATACATTCAAAACCAGCGTTTTGCTATGTTAGCATCTCTGGGAGAAGATCAAAAACAGTTTCAATTGGTTAGTTGTGAATATTACATTACCTCAAACTAATCAAAATGAAAAGAAACATGGGACTGTTTCACAAAAACTTGAATTCAATTATATGAAAAACAGTACAAACTGTTTGGACGTTGATGGTATCTCATGGTTCGATTTTTGTTTGTAGTTTAATTCTTCACTCTCTAAGGGTGAATGTAGAACATGTTAAACACTCCAGTAAAGAGGTGCCACTTCACTCACTAGTTACATCAACAACTTTAAATCAATCAGGAGAAAACTGTTTCAGCTTCAAATTGATCATTTATGAAGAGGGAATGAACACATCCAAGGTTGTCAAAAAAGATTCAAAATCTGATTAGTGCACTTAGTGTGTTGCAAACTGAGTTTCACATTGGACAGGGCATCATTAAGTTGTTTTTCATGTCAAACTTTTGACATTTGGATCGCGGATAAAGTTCCTCAAGACCCATATTCTCCATGAAAAAACAATTGAATACTTCCAGTTCAACCGGATATTGACCTAGGTCGGCAATTTTTGAAGGAAACCTGTAGATATTTTTACGCCATTCCATAGACTATAGAGCAAAAAAATATTTGTTTTCAAAGACATATCACAAGTGGACATTTGTTTTCATTACGGCGGCGCAGAAAAATGTTTATCTGAACTTGTGACTTCATGGATTGTTATAGATGGAGGACTTTGATTAGTTTTCAATGAACCATGGGACAATTTTTATTCATCACCAATCAGGATTTGTTTAGTAATTCTTTCAAATGACATTCGTTCTCATGAGTTTTCTTGGAAACTTCAAATAGGAAATAGTACTTTCAAATCAACATCAAAGTATAGGTCATTATGAACAGACACACTTCCTTCTTTGACTCATCGATATTATCTTTGTTGACCCTACTGAATAAAAATTATTATTATTATCATTATAATCCACAATACACATAAGCATTTAAACATAGCAGATTTAAAGTTGCACCAATCTTTATTACATTAATATCTGAACAGATATTTGTATGAATATCAGATGTATTATTTATTCCCAATTCAAAAAATGATCAATCTCAATGAGGGTTAATATTTTCAGTCTTACCAATTGGCGTTAATAGAGCGTGAGGTCTATGTCAAACTTTTTGCTCAACAGCCCTGAAGGCTGAGGCCTATTTTTTCGAAAATTTCATAAAAAAAAACGATTTGGCCTATGTGAACAAATAGGTGAGCTCGAGTTATGGTTGGACTTGATCAGTCTTGCGTTTTTATCGATTAATGCGGAACTTCAAATGCAATTTTGAAATCAACACAGTGTAATGTACTATTTCAGTGGACTTCATTACAGCGGTTCAAAAAGTGGAAAAACTTGAAAGAGCTGAATATTCATCAGAGTTCCTGACTATCAACATTTTCCTGATGGTAAACGTTGCTAGACAACATCAAGAGTAATTCATTAGTTCCTGACTCTCAAAACTTTTCCCTGATAGTAAACTCTCCTAGACAACATTTACAACCCTGAAGATTTTTAGCCCTTTGATTATAATGTGAAATTTATATGAATGACCTATCTGTTGAAAAGATGGGTGTTTACCTGATCATAACTATTTTGTTATGGAATATTTTCCAGTCAAATTCATTCAGTAGCATAAGCAAGGGTAGTAGATTCTTTTCCTGTGTCCATTTAGCGTTAGAGTATTCTTTCCGCGTTTTTGAGTTTGAGTTTACAAGGTCGAATCCAGCAGATTTCCGAGGCCATGGCCAGGTTGGAGTTCAACCAATCAGAATCCAGGATTTGACTGTCCTTCCACCAAGGTTGATGAGAGGTATAAATATTTACATGGTTATTATTCAGTGACGAATGAGATTCCGGAAACGGCAGCCATGTTGAGGTCTATTGTCGCCACTTTATTTAATATACTCACTCTAGACCTCACAAGAGTGACTTTATAAATAGTGACCTTTAATATGGAGGTACATCCATCTTGATTTCTCCATTCAATTCTACGCACTCTACTTCACTTTGTCAATGGTTTGTCTCTGTTTTTTGCTCTTTGGGCACAAAACATCCAATAATTAGACATGAAACTCTATCCGTCAGTACCTTGGATATTAATTATTAGAATCCGTCTTTTGGGACTCGTCTCAGATTATTTAGATGATGAAATGAAAATAACAAATATCTGAACCTAACATCAGGTAGACACTTTGAAGGCGCAAATTCATTACTGCAGATTTTTAGCTATTCAGTGACCACGAATGACATTCCGGAAACGACAGCTATGTTGAGGTCTATTGTTGCCACTCTAGACCTCACTAGAGTGACTTTACAAATAGATGGACGAAAATAGCGGTACACTTTTTGATTGGCCAGATATTTAATATGGAGGTACATCCACATGTCTTCTTTCTTCCATTCAGTTCTACGCGTCAGTACCTTGGTTATTACTAAGTCTTTTGGGACTCCGACGTCTCAGATTATTCAGATGATGTAATGAAAACAACAAATATCTGAACCTAACATCAGGTGGGCACTTCAAAGGCGCAAATTCATTACTACACGTGAGATACCCTTATGATTTTCAGCTTTTAGAGAGTTGAAGTGTTGCCAAGAACATTAAAGTAAACGTAGAAATTGACAGCAACGCATGCGCACTTTCCAATTCTTCACGTTTCCGTTGATAGTGGACTACGAGAACACCCGTAGGTGTTCGTTATCTCACGTACCCTCACGTATACCTTGAATATCAACGTACGTTAACCAAACTATACTCGAAATATGCCGATGAGTCAAAATAATCAAATTCGGGATCCCCAAAGAGTACTGCATCAATCAAGAAGTCGTCACATTTCAACACGAATTAATGATCAGATCTAAATAAACAACAAAAATGACCAATACAAGCCTGAGAGCCATTACCAAAATCCGGTATCCTCAAAATCCCCTTCACCATTTATCAAACGAACTTCTATATCGGCTGACCAGGGTGCAACCAATTTCTGAGAGACTGAAAAAGCTGACATTTAAGTTTTCCAAAAACGAATCCAATGTCCAAATTATCCAATTTCAGTGTTTACAGAGAGATCCAACAGTGAACCCAAGACGGAAGTTCCCGGAAAACACACTATTGGAATGCTTAATCATACAGAAGACTGAAATTCCTTCAAAATTCTTGCCTCACAATAGACTTTTCTTCTATTTTATTACACTAGCAAATTTAATAATTTCATATATCTTGAATGACATTCCGGAAACAGTAGCCATGTTGTGGGCTGTTGTCACCACTCTAATCAATCTACTCACTCTAGACCTCACGTCTCAGTAGCGCAATCTGGTGGACGGACAATAAAACATGTTAGTCCTCATCGGAAGTGAAAAACCCATACACAACCCAACACCGACACCGACAACAAAAAAGAATGCCTACCTCTTAGCATGCTGGCGTCGACGGGCGCCAGCGCGAAGCTCTCGTCCTCGTTCTGCAGCAGTGTGGTCTGGTCGACGGCGGGCAGCGGATCGTCGGAGGGGGGCGGCTCGAACGCCGGCTCGGGGTGCACCGAGTGCACCGACGGCGTCGGCGTCGGAGCCGTCGGAAGCGGTGGAGGGGCAGCGGAGGGCGGTCTCGAACCGACGGAACTGAAGAAGAATCGAAATTTACATGTTTATTTAACCCATTAGTGTTTGTACAAAACAATTGTTTTCTACCCGTAAGAAGTTTGTTTTTGTGATAGACAGAATTCATTAGGTAGAAAAGAATGCAGTGACCCTTAAAAAGGACGTTGTACACCTGATAACTAGAGTCACTGGATGGTATTACAGGGTTTCTATAAATGATCGTAACATCGTAGTAGCCGTTGAAATATTTTCTCCATTTGCCGCCTTTCATTTATGGAGATTCACACATTCGAATTCAATTTCTGACATCAATCATTATACTGTCATAGCTGATAAACTCACAATTGTCAGTTTTTCGTTAAAATTTATATGGACCGATTTTCTTCGGTGGCACTATCAATGGTGAAAGGTACAGACAAGTGATGTTAGAACCATTCATCAATCAACTTGATGATGAAGAAATTCGAGTTGGCTATTTTCAGCAAGATGGGGCCACTGCCCACGCCACACGTGCAAATTTAGAATATTAAGAAGAATTTTATGACAACCGTGTGATAAGTCGAGGAGTTAATCCTTCTTTTCCAACACATTCTCCAGATTTGACGCCTTTGGATTTCTGCCTTCTTGGATATTCGAAAGACGAAGTATTCAAGAGAGACAATAATAACCTTGAAGAGCTGCAAGCCTCAATAACACATTGCTGCCAAAATATTGGCCCGGAAATGCTGAGGATTATTTTCGACAACAAACGGCGAAGAGATTTGAAATGTTTGGAGAACAACGGAGAATATTTTGAACATTTGATATAGGTTAATGAAATAAACCGTTATTTATTACTTCTTTAATCAATATTTTTGATTTGTTCCATTATTTTTCAAACTCCAATATTGGACTCTCCTTTCTTTGAGATACATTTCCAAAGATCCAGTATATGATCACTTCCTCTCTTTTTGGTCGTTAAATGTTGTTAACAGCATTAGTAGAAAGCGGCAAATGGAAAAAAATTTCAACAGCCACTACTATGTTACGATCATTTATAGAGACCCTGTAGATAAGAGTTCGGACACAGAAATGACAACTGTTAGTGTTTTTCAATGTTTAGATTTATTATTGCATTGCATTGTAACAACAGCAAGCAAGACTTGGGACACAGAAATGACAACTGTTAGTTTTTTGAATGATTAGATTTATCAAGTTACACAACTCACATTGTAACAACAGCATCATAGTCGTTCCGCGCTTTTTCATTCAAAATTGTTTGAATTTGACAACAAATTTTTTCAAGGTAACGTCATCGCTCTAAACGGACTTTATACACCAATTTGGTTAATTTTTCAACAAAAAGGATTCTATATATCACAAAAACAAACTTCTGACAGTGAGTAAACTTGAAAACAATTGTTTCCGAACTTTGTACAATAATAGGTTAACGGGCAGTATAATTCTTGGGGGTCAATTTGAAATCTCACCTGTCTCCGCCCACCGACGGCGGTCCCCCGAAATTGTCCAAATCGTCGTCCAAGTCGTCGTCCAAATCGTCGTCGCTGTGGGCCAACGCGGAGGCGGCGGCCGGCGGCAGCTCTTGCACGACCGGCTCCGGGATGCCCGTCTCGACGACGGCGGGCACTTCCGGCATGGGGGCGTCGTCGAACAGTCCGCCCTCGAACAGCCCGCCCGCTGCGAAATAAATAGGAAAACAGATAATCATGCCGTTCAGGCTGGAAACACAATACAGTGTGTGGCGATCTCTTGATTCCACCTTAGAGATTTGCCACTAGATGGCTACGACATGACTAGAACTTCATGTAATAACCTGCGTCTTCGAAATGGGTGATACACCCAAAGCGTAGAGTTGTCCCAGGTGTCAGCAGACCGAGAGCGGCTGATGAGACCTGGTGGGTCGAAACAGTACTGTCTCGCTCCTGCTGACAATTGGGGCAACGCTGTTCATCCTGGATCTCTTAGTTATGAGATCTAGCAGTTGAATAGTGAAATGATGTGTCGCCATCTCTTGATCCTACCTTAGAGCTTTGCCACTAGATGGCTACAACATGACTAGAACTTTATGTTATACCCTGCATCTTCGAAATAATTTTGTATTGGAGTCAATGAGATAAAGGACTTAGGCATATTATTTGACGATAAACTAACTTTTAGAAGTCACATTACTGAGGTAGTGAACACTGCTTCAAGAAACTTACGTTTCGTTACCAGGAACAGTAAACAATTCTCTCCTGAAACACTTAGTTCACTTTATTGCTATTTGCTTAGACGTTCACTTGAGTATGGTTCCATCATTTGGACACCTTTTTATCAAATACATATTGATAGTTTAGTGCGAATTCATAAAGGGTTTTTAAGTTGCTCATGTTATAAACTACCCAGAAATCTTAATGGAACTCAATCTCCTCAGTTTAGAAAAGCGTAGATTAGTGTTGGATATGTGGTTCCTATAGAAATTGGTCAATGGCCTTAAAAATTCCCCAGATCGACTTCTTCACTTTTAATATAGCATCTAGTAGGCCATGATCGGACGTGAACTCATCTAAGGACCTCAGGTGATGTCAGAAAATTATAATCATGAAGTTTTAGTTTCTAATATGATAGGAAGAAGACAAATTGACGAAATTACATTTTCGTTGTTATATAAAATTTTTCAAATCACAACCTTTTTTTTGACAAGCACTTTCCGAAAAGAGGATTTTTAACGAATCTAAGGATGCTAATTTATCAGAGAGTGGATTGAAAATAAGAACATAAATTCAATATTACTAAGTAAAATACTGAATAATTATTTATTTACATTTGTCATGGGTGCCATGGATGGATAATTTCGTTATCTTGTACTTGTCTAAAAATGTTTGCCATTTGAGAAATTATAATTGGACATGAAAATGAAATTTTGTCAACTTTTCTTCTTTCTATCTATTATACTAGCTAATGAAAGTCAAGTAGGCGTAAAAACTTCTGAAAATTTTATTTTTTGATCCAGAATTATCTCAGAAATTAAAAAATGTTATAACATACACGGTGTTCCATTTGAAAATTCAAAAACGGAGCCATTTCCAGTGAAACCGAAGTGACCGGGAAGTGAAACATAACTTTCCTATTCACATACCATGTACCCATAATGAATTTAATTTTGATACACCGGAAATTCTAGAAGTTATGGCTTCACTAATAGATTCGTTAACACCCGGTATAAGTATTTCTGACATTTAATGAAAGATGACCGAGGGAGTGGAAACTAAAAAAGATTTAAAGTCTGCATATCTCGAAGCCCGCTAAACTTGAGTATAGGGAAAGCTAGTGTACCTAAATGTTTTTGACACTGCTGTTTTGACGATTTTGTGAATTGAGAGTACGGACACTATCACAAAAACTGACAGTCAGACATAACCACAAATAAATTGATGGAAAAAGCGGGATATGCTCCCAACAGATCATTGATATGAAGTAGGAACAATGTTGGTGTCAAAATTGATCCTTGTGGAACGCCGGAATTTATGGCAATGGTATCAGACGATACACCGACCACCACCACCTGCCTGAAAGAAAACTTGATAAGAGATGGCATAGCTGAGGTGGTAAGCCGTATGATGGTAGTTCTTGAAGGAATCCTTGGTGCCAAACACGGTCGAATGCTTTTGATATGTCTAACGCCACAGCTAGAGATTCCCCATGTTTTTCTAATGAAGCTTGCCATATATAGGTGACGTAGGCAAGTAGATCTTCAATTGATCTTCGGTGGCGAAAGCCATATTGTCTATCATTGATGATTCCTGAGCTTTCCAGATATTTGATAAGCTCAATGTTGATGGCTTTCTCCATCACCTTGGAGATTACTGATAATAGGGCAATAGGCCTGTAGTTGTTGGGCAGGGGTTTGTTCCCTTTTTTTGGGGATTGGCTGAACTCTAGCTATCTTCCAGCATGATGGGAAAATACCGGCTTTGTATGAGATGGTAATTGAATATCTGATAATTTATATAACTAGAATATGCCATTTTCACGGCTCCTTCTATATTACAGTGAAATTTTTTTATCGGACTTGCTCTACCAATACAGAAGCCGAATTGACTCACATGTGACCAAACTATTCGCGAGAATCACGAAGTGTGCTGCCTCTGGTGGCTAACTTTACAAGTCCTGCAAGTATGAACAACAATGACAACAATATGGCGACCATTGTTTTTATGTTATGGTTCCCACAAAGAGTAATGTAATGTTCAGAGAACATCGTGAGGTTTACTTTTTGTCTGAGTGCTGGTAATTGCTTTTATATTTTCAAAACATGCAGCAAGTTCACAAAATGGTTGAAATGAAATCCAGGAAGTTTTGTTCAAGCACCAAAACTCGTGAAAAAACTTCAGAACATCAGTAAATATTCCGAAATATAATATGCAACAAAAAGGACTATGCTTGTACAAAAAGTGAGCACCTACATGATAATAATAGAGATTCTCCTTATATAGTTACCTATTTTGTGATTTTTCATAAATAATTGCATTTGAAGGTCCCCAAAAAGAAATGGAAATTGACAATGAAGAATCAGAATAATGAATTGTAAGGTCCCCAAAGAGAAATGTAATTGACAATAAAAAATCAGAATCTCATCAGTTAGTTCCAAATAATAGAGAACATGGAATGAATCAATTAAAGTGATGTTATAGAAAATCATTCTGGACCTATAAAGAATGATGATGATATCTCAGCACATCTGGAGATATTCGAGAGTGATGGGTGATTTGTGTAATTCAATGATGGAGATGAAGTTTTCTAGCCGTCATCATAACATCAAGAACAACAGCAAACAGAAAACCAATTGCCTAAAATGGAAGAAGTGGAAATAGAAATTGGACGAGGAGAAAAACTTCTAGTTTATGTGAATAAAAATGGTGGAAGATATCAGTCCCAAATATCAAATGACAATGACACAATAATGTGTCCAAATAGTATGAGTATGTTTTGTTGATAAAAATTCACAAACTGATTAGTGTGATCAAACCAGGATGATCAAACGATAACCCACCCATGAATGTGTTTCTTGTTGTTATAATGTATTTGGTTGTATCTCGTGAAAATTAAGAAAAATCAGCATTTCCTTTCATAATTATGTGTTTTATTTGAAGATTATTTATTTGTTGTGCATATTTCAGAACCTCATTTTTCCCTAATGAAAAAACTCGAATTATTGCATGAACTTTCATTGTTTACAATGAAGAAACCAGTACCTTGAATAATATACATTTCCTGAAGCACCATTAGAATCATTATATAAATGATGGTTGCAATGATTTGATCTTGAAAATAATTTCAAGTCCTCAATTGCTGGGATCCTTATTGATGTTACTGTTCATTCTTAGCAGTCTCTCCAACCATACCTTTTGTTTAACCTCCTTCACTAGAATTCCATCTCCTTCATAACAGCTAGTGATATTTCTAGATGAATTCAATTATTTCTTTTTACCTATACCATATTGTTATTATAGGGCTGATTCCTTATGGTTCCATTCCAATCCCTGAAAGTATTGAGTGGACCATTCCGACCATTCCATATGTTTGAAAACAGTGGAATTGTACATAATGTGATATCAATAAAGAATACCACTAGTTTCAACATCAATATGGCAATTTTCCTGCACAAAGTTATTTTTTCCACACTGGAAACCTAGTACGCCAATTATGAATATTTCATGAAGTCGAATTATTATTCACTATTTTGCAAAATGATTTCAAAATAACCTATTTGCAATAGGTACATACGGCAATGTTTTTGTTGTTCATACTCAGTTTGAAATTTGACGTTGATTTGACGTTTAGTAGCGCCATCTATTAGTTCGTGATTTTCGCGAATCTCGTTTTTCAGCGATTACATTTTTGACGTCAATTTAATTGGAAGTCAGATTGATGGATGCGATGTGCGCAACTCTCGCGAGCCGCTCGTTTATTGTCTCAATAATTCAATACTCATAGGAATACAACTAGTGATACTATTTTTCCTCGAAATATCCGTCGATTGACATACTCCAGCTTGCTGCTTCAAAAACGATCATGAACTTGTTCCAAAACTGCTCGCCTACGGCTTGAAATTTTTGATGAACAATGTCATTCGGGAAAACGCGTGACGTAATCATCCAAGAACACCATATAAGATTCGACTTCCCTATCAATTCTCTATTTCTGATAGACAAGGGCAAGAATATTTCTGATTGTCATTTCAATCATTCAATCAGAATATGGAATGAATTTTCTGGATTGAATACTTACTGCAGATAACATAGAACACAACACACAACTAAAGAATCAGATTATGAGGATGATCTTTGAATATTTGCATCGTGACTAGATGAAACAAGGATTTGACGATGAGGGTATGACGGCCGATATTAACGTCAGGAAGTTGGGTTGACAATGTAGTTTGTGTTCTTCTTCTTTTTTTTTGTATTTCTGGGATCTTAGGCATTACACTGTTAACCTGTGCCACAAAATAATTTGAGATTAAATAAAATCTCACTAGGATATTTTCATTAGTACTGAAGCATCGTGCAAGTATATAAGTATTCAATAAGTGATTATTAGGGAACAGGTCAAACTATTGTCTTCTGTGAATGTGAATACTATTGTCATCAGTCATATTGAATCTCATAAGGTATAATTACTAGTTCCAAATATGGCAGCGTCGAAATATGTATTCCTACCTCTTATGCAAAAGCGTTGATGACGTCATCAAACCTGGTGTTCATCGAAGTCGCCGAATTTAATTATTGAAAAAAATTATCTGCGATGATTTCGAATCATGAATGATTGCATCAAATACTATTTACACACGGAATGATAGATATAAAATAGGTATGTGGCGTGAATTCGACTAGTATGTACCGGGTGAACAACTAGGAACGGCTGCCATCAATTCTTTCTCCAACTTTTATCGTCAATATCATCCGTTAGCGAAAAGCTATCATGTTGCAGTTTTCGTTGTTCTGTTGAGATTTAGTTTCTCTATTGCACCGTGTAATATCATAAGTCGTTGCTGAGATATGGCCGACAGCCGTTCTTAGATGTTCACCTGGTACAACCCCATTGTTCCGCAAACATCTAATATACTGTACCGCAAATATCTAATATACTGTTAAGTACACAAATTTGATTTTACAGCCTTGTTTCATCATGCAAAGCACGAGTCGAAAACAATTTCGAAAAATCCACTCACATATCATGTTGTTGTCCAAGTTGGCCCCGAACCCGTCATCTCTGACCGACGAGTCGATCTCCATGGCCGACTCGTGGTGCTGAGTGCCCGACGTGGACGGCACTGGCTCCGGTTCTTTTTCCAACTCTACAGGATCCAAGCCCGGTTCGCTGAACAGCAGATTGCTCTGTAAGATGATCGTCATGTCATTTGTGAAAATGACACCCACAAAAGATATTTTTTGCGGCATAGAACACAAATAATGAAGTAGGACTAAATGTCATGGAACATTATAGAGCAGGGATGGAATAAGTGAAAAGAGTCGGACTTTTTGAAATAATTCAGACTTCTTTTAATAAATTCACTGAAAAAAAAATTTCAAAAAAAGTGTCATTTACCTAACACAAATACAAATCTTGTAACAAAACATGCAATGTTTTGCAAAACAAAATTGAAAGTAATGATTGAATACAATAGTAATTTACGTAACAAGTCCGGAAAATGCTGTTTTTTTTTTGGACGAGTAGACAAAATTCTAGGCCGAGCCGTAGGCGAGTCCTGGAAGTCTGCGAGTCCAAAAGAACTGTTTTTGAACGTGTTGTGTATTCCATTTTTTCGGCAACCATGTAGAATAACAAATCAATGAGACGAATTTCCATAATATTTTTGCTTCGTGGAATACAATTTATTCTTTATTAATTCTCATTTGTATCAAATACTGAAATTTGAACAGAATACCTATACCTACTAACCGTTACGTTGGAAATTTCGAATGGACATTTTCAAACTCACTATCGCAGCTGCTTTGGATAGTTTATTGCGATAATTGCAACCAAACTTACAAAAATCAAAATGTCAACTCATTTCATGTCAAATAGCTGTCAGCCGATATTTCGCTGCTATTGTAATGAGTTTGTACACCTTAGTAGAACTTTTAACTGAAACCATGTTTATAATGATCCTTTTATACATAAATAATAATTGACGACATAATTCGATCAAAAAATTAACTGGAATATTTTTATTTTTGAGCATAAATAATTAGTACCTTACATAATTGTTACCATATTGATAAAATATTCAAAAAAATACAGCTACTTCATAACAAACTATCATGTAAATGACGGAGACTTGGCAACAATGTACTGAATGTTGAGAACTCACAAGACAAGGCCCACAATTCGTGCGCCGTGTTGTCACGTTCACCGGTTCAAATGGCCTCTAGTGTGAATAAATATAGTAATTATTATTTACACAAATGTATTATAAGCAATAAGCCACAACACTTGAGAGAACATTTTGAGGCAATTGATTTTTCATCGATAATTAGGAATATTACCAATACATAATTGAGAATGTATAAATTATTGAATAACTAATATTTCTGAAGTTACCAATTGTATTTCAACATATGGCAAATATGCTATGGTCTACCCCTACTTACAAAATCATGACGACAGTTTTTACTCGCGGTAAATTTCTAGCAGTTCGAAAATTACCGTGGCATTATTATGAGAATATATTCAGAACAGAGTGGTGTTGTGCTAGACTATTTCACGTTCACGAAGCATTAAAAGGATTTATTATAAATGAGTGATTCATTCTGACAAGTACAGCCATAATTACATTATGCCAAACTGACAGACATTGCTTCGCTATCCATGGTTCCATCCAAACTTTGATTTGCAATCCATGGTTACATTGTTGAAAACATGAACGCAGTCACACCAATCAGAATTGAAAGACAGCTGATGTTTTCGCGATAAGCACACTCTCTCTAGCTTCTGATTGGTCAGATTATGTGATGAGTAAAATAGTCAGTTGTCACTCATTCTCAAATTTGACGCGTTCATTTCAATTTGGGGAAAAAATTATGGTCAGAAATTCCGACCACGAAACTATAGATTCAGGCAAAGAAATTGCGGCAAAAGAAGCAATACAAAACTTCAGTACAAGCTAAATATATGATCAATTAGTTCTTATTCTTTTTTTTTTCTTTGAAATTATTTTCATTCACTTTACTGCACTAGTGCAAAAAGCATTTGACCTTACAACTGAAAAATCCTCATGGGCAATCAATATCTCTTGAATTCGCAAGATTTCTCTCAAAATTCAATGGCTTAAATAACTCAGTAAATTGTAAAGGACAGCAACAAATACATCAATAGCTTGAACCTGTATTAAATTGCCAATCCTATGCAGCCTTCCCAGATACTGCCTTTTCATCATTCTCTTTTATGGAAGCTATACAATGATTCCACAGAGGCTTCTCTGCTTGGTAGTAATAATAAACAGTAAAAAAAGTAATGAAGTACTGGTGGTAGTAAAGTAGTCCTTATAATATACATATTATAGGCTTTTTCACGAACACTAGAGTGAATATGGAGGTGTGCAGTGATCAGTGACGGCTCGTCAGGGACGGCAGGGTCGGCCGGACTGTATCAGCAAATTTAAGAAAAAAAGCTGAACTATTTGATGAATAAAATTATTTTTCGAAACAGTTTTTTATATTAATCTATTTTTATGCTACTGTTATGTAAAACTGACTTGTAATTTTTGAATTTGCAATTTCTCAGTAACTTGTAATTCAACATTCATCAAATATTAAAATCAGTACTGCTTCACCTTCAGTGCTTCTGAGAGGCGATAATTCAAGTATAACTTGAATATTGTATGCAGACCGAACAGAAGATGGGGTAGAAACTCCTATCAAATCTCATCTACTGTTTTTCGGTCAAAGTTCTAGACCAACGGCCTACTTGACAGAAGGAATATAGGTCGCATTTTACCCGTTAGATGACGAAATCTCAACCAAAATTCAAGGTTGTTAGAACTGATGATAATTAAAATTTCCCAAAATCACAGTTTCATACTCTCAAATTTAATCTCATTTGATTTGAGGTTATGTACTGAATGTTATGATATTATTATTTCTGATGTGTAAGCGTCGTTTTCTGTTTTCTGTCATGAAAGAAATCTGTAGTGTCGCCATCTTGCGGACAACTGAGAACTAATATGCTATTATTGTAGAATCTGTGGTCAAGTGTTTTGGAGAAATAAGACAATGTATGTGATTACACAATATTCTATCCACCTTGATTGTATGTAATGTGTCTAATATGGCAAAACAAATTTCAGCAGTCCAAAAAACATGAAAAAAAGCTCTGGTGATGAAAATGTATAGAACTTCTAGAATATTATTTATTTTCAGACACATGTAGCGGTTATAAATAATATGTATGCCTCTACAGCAAGAAACATTGACGATACTTGGACGTACGGCCAGCCGACCAGGAAAGAGTGAGGTGGCTTGTTAATAGTCATTGTGGTGATTTTTGCGTTTGGTGTGTCATGTGTTGAAATGGTTGAAAATAGTTTTTCATTAAAAATACCAAAAAAATACCTACCCTGGCCAATTCAGGTTCTGAAGGGACTAGCAGTCACTTGATATGGTATAATAGGTTATGTATTGAATTGGTTCAGAAGTTATCAGTGACATAGAACACAGTTTTAGAAACTCATATGGAGTCCCCCAGGGTTCAATATTTGGACCAATATTATCTATTTTGTTCATCAAGGTATTATCTACCAAGTCAATTAAAATAAAATGAAATTATTCACTGGTGAATCTTGGTTATAGATTGATGGTGAACCAGATAAAATATAATAAACTTTTTCAGTGAATAAAATATCTGACTCGGCTACCAATTTCTCTCACTGGCTTGAGTTGTATGACATTTAAATAATTGGTTTATAATCTATGGATAGTAATTAGGAATGGATAGGAGAGGAATTGATTGAGACATACAGTGAGCATTTAAAGATTGGAACAAATTCATTAAAAGTAATATGGCCATTGGGAAAAAGAAGCTCAGACATGTCCATTGTCTTTTCAGAAGCACATTTGTTGTTCTATGCATAAATTTGTTAAATTATTCAGCTAACAGAAATAAAACTTGAACATTGAAAACCAATGGTTTTCAAATGACCTTGATGATTAATGATACACAAAATCATGCCATGAGAACCATAAAAACTCTACATCGTAACAAACATACTACAATAATTGCTTTAGAACAAAGAATTAATTTCAAGGAATATTCTCAGATATAATTATGAACATACAAAAATGGATATATATATAAAGAAATACATTGAGAATTTGCATTCTATGTCCTTCAATTTGTTGGCCTTATTGAAGATGAAAAATAGAATGTTACCAACCCACTTCAGTGACAAATCAAGTTATATAGAGAATGTACACACTCATGACACTACAACTCAAACTGCAAATGATTTTTATATTTGAATGCAGTGTAACAGAGTATTTAGTGAGAGTTCAATACTTTTCAATAGCATATCCCTTAAAACAAAAAACCCATAACTGGACTTTAAAATAAAATGAAGAGACTAAGTATTCCTTCAGTTTTGATACAATAATGTGGTATTATATTGTAATAGCTTTCAATATGTTATGCCTAGCACATTTCAATGTTGTACCTAGCAGTTTTTAATATTTATTTATTTCTTACAAACACACCTAGTAGTTAGATGTGAGGCAGTTTATGATATGGTGTGCTTATTATATACAAGGTGTTATTTAATCATGTGACCAAACTTTAAGAGTTGATCTCTATCAAGTGATTACAAGTCTAAAAGTTCATGTAAACATAATGATTTAATAATAATGAATTTAATAATTTATTAGCAGCAGGTACAAATTACAGACTTCTGAGACAAAACATATGGTACATGTTATGTTATAGCTAAAGTTATAAAGTTGGAGTTTCAAATTATCACAGTGAACAAAGGCTATTCCTACATTTATCAAATAAACATTATGAGAACAGGCCAAACATCAAAATACTGCTAACATTTTTAGATGCACAATGCTATTTGTAATACTGTGTGTGCACCCATTAATCTGTTTTACAGTTACTTCTTAGAATATAATTAGGTAGGTCTGAAAATCACCATTTCAAGATGCAGGGTGGCAAAGATTTGAATAAAAAATACTTTTCTGTAAATATCTCAAAAATCTCTGATCCAATTTTGTTGAAATATTGCAGTGTTATTTGTAGTAGTAAGGTACTAATCAAGCCATTACTAGATTCATGAAGAACCATTTTTTTTTTCAAGTTTGACACTGGACACTGTGTACCTTGAAAATTATGTATTTTCAGAGCAATACCTACATAAACTTTCTGTCTTAGAATCACCACAAAAATCAACCCTCGAAAATTGGCCACAGTTTTGTAATTATTGTCAACTTTTCGGTGAAGAGCAATTTGTATGGAATTATATATGAAGGTTTCACCATTTGAAGGAGAAAATGTCAACAGGATACCTTCCCCTTGAAAAGTCTAATTTTCTGGGCAAGCATTTTTTCTGGGAATGAATGTGTAATCATTTTAAATGGTGAACCTATTATAAGAAAATATACAACCAGAGATTGATGCTACTTGCCTGTTCCATAGAAGGAGTGAGTCCTGAAGCATGGCGCATCAGATCTGGAGTGTCAGTGTCAAATCCCATATCACCAAAACCATCATCATTGTTCACTAAAGAAATGTTGCCATAGTCTTCACGCATGGTAATTTCTTCAGCTCTTGATTGATTCAGGCTAAACTGGGCTTCAATATCTACATCACTGAGAAATCAAATGGAAGATATTAGTATTATGATGAGTACAATGTCAATGATGTTGGTGGATTTCTACAGAAAATAGAAATACATGTAATTGTACTTTTTTTTTCATAAGAATTATGTTAACTTGTGGTTACTTGTAATTGTTGAAAAGTCACAGCAGACATTACAAGAAAGTCTCCATAAAAAACAAAAAATTACTGAAAATTCTTTTGAATGCTTTTTTAAAAACTGATTTATTTTTTTGGTGCAATATCTGAAATTTTTCTCATTTCTCTAGATGAAAACAGTCATTTATGATTTGAAATTTCAAGGGTATTGAAAGACATGAATGGAGATTATATTTCATTAGCTTTTGATGATTCAGTAACAGAATAAGATTGGATGGTAATTTTGCACTTATCATGGAATGGGTTTTTTTTGAAATTTTTTTTTGGTACTTACATATTTTTGTCTGGAAAACACGAATTTGATAATGAAAATGTGAACAAACCATTATTTATTGAGATATTTCACTATAAAGTTACAAATTCCACCTTCTTTTTCGCCTGTCTTCCGGATCATATTTAGAACAATTTGCCCTTCTTTTTCCATCATTGGACAATTTATATATATCCCACAATGTTGAAAACATTTTTTTATTACATGAGTCAACTAGAAATATGATGTTCTTGTGATTTATCCATGTTTAGTGAAAAGATGGAAAAATATCATTTGAAATAATGGCCTGTGTAATGTCATTTCAAAGCAATCTATTGACATTTGACATCTGGTATTTGGGATTGCCTATAGATTAAATGGCCGTCATCTGGTATGTTTGCTCACTAAATAGGAAAAACTCACCATAAAAATCATATTTCCTGTTGAATTCTCTATCTTAAAATGTGTCATTGAAGTATATATATCATGAGTATATTAAGTGTCCAATGACAAAATAAAAAGAGCAAGTACCTGTAAATGCATCCAACACAAGGGGGAAAAGAAGGCAAAATTTCCAGCTTTTTCTTGAGATATCTCAATAAATAGGGATTTGTTCACATTTTCATTATCAAATTCATGTTTTTCAGACAAAAATACATAAGTACCAAACAAAATTTTTGAAAAAAAAAACCCATCCCATGATAAGTGCAAAATTACCCATTGAACTCATAATCTTGCCTCAACTATCAAGTCAACTTATTATGAAGATTTTAAAATCACAACAATACTATAACACTCAATGAGAAAACTGTCCTCATGAGCACAAAGGGCCAAAGTGCAAAATTTGTCCATTATTAGATATTGACCTTAATATTTCACATGCTCCTCCAACATTCCTAGTGGTTTTTGGAATGATCTACATATTTTAGAAACAGAAAATAGAGTTTTAAAGAAGGGTGCTTAAATGCACATTGTGTGTCATTTACTAGGAAAAAACAGTCCATCTCTCAAATATAAGACATACATGGCTTATCTGATGATTGAAAAGTATGTAAATGTGCCTTTAATATTTTTATTTCTGACAGTGGCATTATAAGCTTATATCGTCATAGTTACGATATCTATAATGAGGGTCATAACTCCCTTGGGATGTTATAGATGCTATAATTCCCTCTAGCTAAAATTAAATAAGAAATGCATAGCAACAACCACGCAATAACGTAGCAATAAGGAATCTCCTATTCGCGGTAGTCAAGATCATCATCTGACGTTCTGATGACATTGAAACTATACGGAAAAACATGTCTAACTTTCAATCGGGAAGGTATTTAATGAATGAAATCAGTCAGAAATAAAATTATCTATGTATCACGGGAATTATAGAGCCTTAATAACCTCTGGCAATTGCTGTCCCTCGGGCCAGAGGCCCTCGGGACGCAAACTTTGCCATCGGTAATTAAGGCCCTCATAATTCCCTTAATACATAAATAACTATAGTATTCCGTATTTGTGTCCTTAGTTTAACATACATGTCTTTATCATCAAACAAGAATGAACATGCTGATTCACTCACAGTTGTTTTAATTCAACAGTTAATCATCAACTATATTATGAAAAAGTTGGAAAAATATAAAATAATTAAATCCCAAATATAATTATTTTGAATATATTTTTGAAAAATATACAAAAAATTAGGCTAAATGTTTTTTTTTGCACCTCAATAGGAATAATTACTAATAGCAGAATTGGAAAATAGGAAATGTTGTTCAGAGGAAATTGTCCTTGATGTGGAATAATAGCCCTTATACTGGGTTTATAGATTTAATTAAACTAACAATTAGGAATTATCAATTAATCAATCAACAATCAACAATCAACAATTAATAATTATGGGGGTGTTTATACATATCTGATAATAATTAAGAATTAGATGTGAAATGTTCTTTGACTAAAGATCAAAATGTTGTTAAAAAGTGATTTTGGTCTCCTCAATTCATGAATCCATAAAAAATATTCCAATTAAATATCACCAATCTCCATCTGAATAGTAACAAATCCAATCTTCATGTTCTGCCTCCAGACTGTCCTAATTCTAAGTTGATAAGTTGAAAGTTGGCCAACTTTGTAATTCTTACTTCTTAATTTAAATGACAGATGGAAATGTATAAACCCTCATAGATGTTGACTTGTATTCAACTTTTTAAATTCATAGTTGTTAGTTTAATTCTTAGTTCAGCTGAATCTATAAACCCAGCATTACTGCTTATGATGGCAGAAAACTCAAATCCAAGTTATATTTTTATAATATATTCACAAAAGCTACCACCTAGAATAGTTATTGTATACACTTACTTCAATTCTGGTATTGTGGTATCAAAATCATGGAAAACTTCAGGCAAAGTAATAGCATTCACAGCTGCCTCTCGATGTTCTTCTGGCAAATCTACCATACCAGGCCTAAATGCCATCTTTATCTTCACAAATGCTTCATTACAATCTGCCAGAAGGTATTTTGCTTTCCTAGAATAGATTCTCACAACACCAAGAAGCAGGTGACCAGAGGTTCTAAGGGCCATCTTCACTTTAGGCTGGAGGATACCATCTACAGACTTCTCTATGTTGGTTTCAAATACATGAGCTTTGGTTAGTTTCTTGTCCCAGTGGGCCGCCAGCCATATTCTGGCAAGTGGGCCCTTTTTGGCAAGCACAAAATGTGCGTAAAACATTTTGAGGCCCTACTATTTGAACAGACAGGAAAATACCTGAAAAGCCAATAGAAAACATTAAATTCTCAATGGTATCATTAATGACAGCTTGTTGGCCCAACAAATGTAGCGTTGGCGCCCAGAACTTTCACAATAGAAAAATGCATAAATACTCACGTTTGGCTGATGAATATTAATTAAGTGATCTGCGATATTGATAAATCGAATTTAAAGCAAATTCTGGCAATAATTTCCATTCCCGAAGGAATAAGTTCTGATTTATACATAAACACAAACGACTCATCAAGCGAGCGAACAACTCTTTTTTACATCAAGATGGCGACCGAATCGAAATTGAACGCGATAACCAGAGAACACGAAAAACGCGAACTCAACACAAACATCATGAAACATGATATAGCGATGTGAAGGTGAAGATAGCAGCAGCCAAGGTCAGCTGCCAAAATTTCCGAAGATAACCGAACACCCATTTATTCTTTTTACTGCAGAAATAATAATTATTGGTTGTTTGATTCGATTAGTTGAAGACGGCTGTGCCAGTGGGGATTTGAAAATCCCTTGAATTCATAACTCCTCGAGCAACGGGTTATACCGTCAGACAGTCTAGATATTTAGCCGTCATTGCCTCAAGAAAACTTCATTAAAACTTCCCAGAAAATAGGGAAAAAGGATATGCTATCTCCCAAATTGTCCCGACAGGAAGTATTTTATTAAAAGAGACATTTTGTAACTTTGTCAAAGATAAAAATAAATGTCTAACTTTTTTTCCGTCACAGAAAAATATAATATGATTCTACACTATTGGTTTCTGTGGCGGGAATTAATCGATACCAAAAAGATAGGTAACTAAAATCAGTTGATCATCCATGAGAAATGTGAAGTTTTTACGCTCCGTTGTCAAAGGAAACCTTTTGAAGTAAAGTAATCAAAGATATCTGTCACACATATCTATCATGAGTGTCATGTTTTCGGCATATCCAAGATTATGTTCAAATTTCAATTCTCTAATAGAAATATTATAAATTAGTAGCATAAGTAGTATATTATTAGTTGAGTGAGTGTATTGTGCTTTCATCTTCATTACTTTGAGGATTATTTGAAAATCCGAACATTCGTTTTATTCGATTTTATTTTATGAACTGAAAGTGAGTGAATAAACTGTTATCACTTTGTGTCGTTCATAGATTCCCCATTGAAAATCGGAAATACAACGCACCGTTTTCATTTAAACAAAAAATTGTTGAAATGTGAATTCAAATAAATGTGTCATAATGCCTGTAAATTTGGTTTAAAACTTCGGCAATTTAGCAAGATCCTCCCACGCCTCGCTATTTTCACAAAGTAGGAAAAATCGAGAGATTTCGAAGCTCGTTTCAATACGAAGTGATAAAACACCATTCGACTTTCTGTACATCTATGTTAATAGCATATTTTTCGGAACTGGTACAACAATAAAAGTCATCATTATTTCTCTTGGAAAAATCGTGGGAAAAAGTAAGGGAGAGTGATACATTCATTTAAGAAAGAATAAAAACTAGAAGTTGTCTCCACAAGTTTGAGTCATTCAAATGGCCATAAGTCAAAGGATATGAGTACCTACACCAAAGTGCCTTTGACTGATGATAACTATTCATAATCGGTCATTTTCGGTCAAAACGGCTTTCATGTTCCTATTTTGAATTTTGATTCACTATCTACTGACATTCGATACAGGGTGATCAGAATTCTGAATCTAGAAAAACTCTTATTTATTCTTCATTCAGTTCTACGCATTCTGGCTATATTCCGAATTCAACTGGTCAGTACTGTCAGTAAAGTCACTGACTTTGCTGAAAATCTGTGTTCCGAAATATGAAATAAAAAATATAGTGCTGTAATTCGGAACACGTTTTCATGATTTTCATCACTTTCATCAGTAGTCAGCAGCAGTTGATGATCAGCTGGTGAAATTTGTCAGTCTGTAGTTTCTCCTTCATCTAAACTAGATATTCTGCCTACTGCTTGATATAAATTTTCGAGATTTAATATTTAAATGATTGAAACTTTGACTGTTGCATTCATTCGATTTTATAGTTTCAATATTTTAGTGTCTTGAATTCAGGATCCTAAAAGAATGACTAAAACTTGTACTAAACCATTGATGATTACAAACGGGCTAAACATGGAAAAGCAATCGATTCTTGTAGCCTCCATAGTTTCTACGATTGTTGACGATGACGAATCAAGCTCGAGAGATAAAGAATACTTGGACATTTTGTTGAAATTAATTTTTCATGCTGCACCAGATTGAGAATTGAAAGATTAATGGAAAACGTGATATGGCATTAATGATGATGAATTTAGGAGACATTTCAGGTTTATTTAGTTATTTATTCAGCCAATGCTGCTTCTTCTTTCGTTACCTCTATAATACCTAATACTCCATATTATTCTCGGCGTTTTTTATTTCAATAACAACCATAACAGGTACTTTCTGATATTGAAAATGATATAACGGAAATAAATGTTACATTCCTTCCTACTCCAGGCTATATTCCGAATTTAACTGGTCAGTAGATCCACTGACTCTGCTGAAAAGCTGTGTTCCGAAATATAAAATCAAAAATACAGTGCTGTAATTCGGAACACGATTTCATCAGTAATCAGCAGCAGTTGATCAGCTGGTGAAATTTGTCAGTTGTCATTGATCTGGCAGATGCTCCTGCTTGAGCTAAATAAATAACAGGCATTTTCTGATATCAAAATGATATTATTAATGTATCATTGAAAAATAATGACAGTTCACTGAAGCCACGCTACCTTTTGATAGTCAGCAATTTCAGCAGAATGTTGAGTCGAAATATTTGGAATGAATAGTATATCTGCTCACGAGTATCTGTCACTTTCTGTCAATTTTTTTGATTTCGGAATGAAAATTCGGCAGATTCAGTACTGTCAGTTGAATTACAAGCACATTACAAGCGTCTATCTTGACTAGCGAATCTTTCAAACCTCAAGATTATCAGAAGGTTATTCGTGTTAATAAGACTTATAAGGTAATTTAAGGATAGAAAATATCTCTTCTGCATGAAAAAGTAAAGTACTTCCAACCTTTCTTGTCCAAATCATCCTCATTTCCTAAAAGGTATATTTTGAAAATTAAATGAGTGAAAAAAAATTGACGCCTCACAGGGATTGAGCCTCAGTCCCTACATTATACTATATTGGGAGTCAGGTACACAGACCACTAAAAGCTATCCCTTATCGCTTTACTCGTAGTAGTCCCAATGAACTGAATGTGAGTAGTCCTGGAGTCCTAGTTTCTGAATATAAAGGAGGAAGAAATATCTAGAGAAATATCATGTGTTGTGGGTGACGTCACTCGACCTCGATGTTTGAAGATTCGCTGGTCTAGCGAGACGCTTGTGAAGGGAGACTGTAGTGAGTGTAGTGTAGTTTTCTCGAATGGCACACAGTGTGTGCTTGTTATAATTGAGAGTTGAAGTAATCACTATACATAGACCTCCACGTAGACGTTAACGTACGAAAAATAACGTTTACGTATTCTCGTTAAATTGAAATTGAGTTGAAGTCGCCACTTTGGTCGTCACTGTCATCATAACGTAATAATACATTTTGTTTTCGGTTTGTATTGGTCACTTTTGCTTGTGTGTTTAGATTCGAACATATTTATTCCTGTCAAAATTAGAGGACTCCTTGATGCAGAACTCGTTGGTGATCACGAATCATCGGCATATTTCGAGTATAGTTTGGTTAACGTACGTTTATATTTAAGGTATACGTGAAGATACGTGAGTTAACGTACACCCATAAGGCCACTAACAACGCAAACGTGAAGAATTGGAAAATGCGCATGCGTAGCTGTCAATTTCTACGTTTACGTTAACGTTCATGACAACACTTCAACTCTCTACTCTCTTTCCTCCTGGATACTTCTGCGTCTTTCGCAGAAATACCATCAGTCGCATTTTAAAAAAAAAAGCGTACAAGTATTCTGCATAAAACGGGCTATCGGGAATGATTGTTCACCAAATGTTGACAGTAAAGTTGTCATAGGTTATCGAAAACACAAAGCATTGGCTGATTGGCTGAGCCAGTTTTACACAACTAGAACTAGGATGCCGTAAACCTCTCTTTTTAACGTTTTTAACACTGGTACGCTTTTTTATTGAATACGACTGTACATACTAAATGATCGATCAAAGATCAACTTGGAACTTGGATCATTGAATGTCAAAATGACAGTGACGTTTGAAATGAACGAAGAGGTTATAAGCGTTTGTTATTTTATTTTCAGGCAGTTCAGTGTAACATGGCGATATATTCGCATCGCCACGCAGAAAAAATACTGTGTTGTTTTTTAATATTATTGTGCCCTTCATTTACTGCCTTTTCGGATAACGTTTACTCGCCAGAGTTTTATTCTGTTTCACAAGAGCCGCCAGTTGAAAATGAGGACTACAAAAAAATCCGTTTTGAAGTGCGCGGAAGAAATATTCATAAAGGCGTTCGCATCAAAGCAACGGAAAATAAATCTGAAAGAGGTGTTGAATGTGAGGACTTGAAATCCAACTATAACTTTACCGAAATACAGACATTCGAATTTCAAAAGGCAGAATATGAATTGACAGTGCCAAGAAATTTACAGGGTAATATTTACCTCTGTTTACCAAGTCAAGTCATTAAAAATAGTGGTGTTCCTCCTTTATTCAATAGTGAAATATTTAAGTGGTTTAGTCAAGGACCTAATGTTACTTTGGATATTACTTCCAAATATAAGTGAGTACCTTTTCAATTTTTTTATTTATTTTAGGTATGTATAAATTAACTTCCCTATAGATTTATCATGCAACTTCATATTATTTTGATCTCCATACTATGATAGCTATAGCTAATTAGCTAAGTGAATGCCTAGGGCCTAGGTGAATGCATTGAATGTGTCATGTGATTAGACTGATGAATCTCTCATCAGTCTCATATGGTATAATCCGGTATAATCTCTCATCTCTCACTATTAAGTGTTGTATAACCATAACCTACTATTCTTTGGTTGTATCTTTTATCTTCAGTTGAAGGAGAGGACAGGAGGTGCCACTTCTGGGATCCTGGGAAACACATTAATCATTGATGATGATGATTAATATCATTGAGAGTCTGAAACAGTAATTTACATTCCCCAGACTCAAATTTGAGAAATGGGGAATCCTCATGGTATAATCATAAGTCAATGTTTTGTAGGTGTTTCAACTTTTTTTTCATCATATTATGTCATATCAATGAGTGAATCTTGATAGAAAAATATTCATTGTTTTCAATAAGAAATATCTCTGGAAATATGTGTACCATGTAGGTAAACTTTGAACATGATTGATAAGATACCTTGTAAAATACAACAAAAAGACAAACAAGGGTTGGCTATTTCCTTAGTGAGGTATTTCCAGTAAAAAAATCATTATTTTTATTGCATAACTTCCTACCAATCCCCATTCAGAATCTTGTGGGCTGGTTACTTTTGCCGCATCTTTTGCCAAATCCAATCATTCTAATTTCTAAAAAGTTTTTATTGTTTCTCTAGTGCTCAGGGAGACACTTTCAAGGGCATGTGTTTTGGAGATTGCCAGGCCACAGCTTTTTAGTTAAATTATATCCACCCCACAAACATCTAGTCCTTGATCAAGCTTGGGATCAAGTCATATCCTCGGTCCGCCTCGGTTGTATCCTTGTATCCCTATCCCTTGTCATATCCTAAAAAAGAAAATCACAAGGAGAATCCTCGGAAAAATCTGTTTTCTCCTGAATATCTTCCAGGTATTTTATGAATCAACCATTCTCCCAACCATTGGTTCATTACAAAGTTTCTTCAACTATTATTAGTTAAGGAAGGTACAATGAGGTATTAGTGGAAATCACAATGAATTCATGATCATGAAACGATATAATGGTCAGATAAATTATGGCAGGTTAGCAGGATTTGATGCTGAACAAAATGCATTTTCTAAATTTCAAAAAATTACAAGGAAAGTTCCAAATCAAGATCCAACTTTTTTCGGAGATATCCGAAAAAAAAAACGAACTGTCATAACTTTTCTTATCTTTTTCAACATTAATGAAGTTAGTGCCTATGGTAATTTAATGGGGCGGAGGGGAGTATCACTATATAGTAGTGTTCCAAAAAAATAAAACCTAATTCTTGCTATTATATATATTTTATTTTAATAATAAATTAACAAATTCTTCTTCCATTCATAATCAGTGGCGCCCGAAAAATTATGAAAACAGAGCGTGGCCGAATATCACCCAAGATATTATGAGTGTATGTGATTAACTAAAGATCAATATTGACTAATACTAATAATAATAAAGAAAGTGCTTTATTGGTTACCCAATTGGCCACCGACCGGAGTCCTCTCGGGAGTTTTTCAGCCTGTGACCATAAATATAAATAAGTAAATCATTTGTTTCCAGTTGATTATGAAATGTTTCAGTAGATCACTAGATCATTATGCAAATCAGTAGATCTACTGAAAATTCAGTGGAACTGGCAACCCTGACCAATGATCATAATTATGCAATCAGCACTTACAGCATTTACATAAGCACCTGTTTCGGGAATGCGGAATGCGGCCAGCAGCAATAAATGGAAAAATATTCATTTATCCAGCTATATGCACTCAGTGTATATCGAGGTGTATATCTATCCTCGTCTATCCTTTATTGATTTACATAATATGACAAATGAAGACAAAAAAGCATGAGCCACCTAAAGTTTTCGAACCATTCCCAACATGTGTAGGGTGGTATAAGGAGACCAATCAGAGAGATTGTGGTAAATTCAAATCACTGTTATTGACGGTAAATTTGAATAACGAATGTTTGCACATCTTGAATTATACCCAATAACCTTAATTGGCGCAGAATATAGTCTAATAATTAGAATTTTCAGCCGAGAGCTTCGCTCACGGTCGATCCTGAAAAAACATCATTGAAATAGCGAATCACTATCGGCCTAAACAGTAGTACTTTTTTCAAGGAGGAAGGAAAATATCCCTTCTGCATAAGAAAGGAGACTTTTTTTAAACATTCCTTGTCCTAAATGAACCTACTTCCTAGAATTATTAACATGACGATAGACTGTTTCTGTTCGGTGCTCGGGTGCTCGGGGTCGGGGACGAAGGAAAAACACTTGCGTCTGCGGAGTCTGCGTCATAAAATGGAATAGTGGTGGGGACTTCGCGTAAACCCGTGTCAGACATATCAATGTTGCCGGATTGTGAAGATTTTCTTTGACTTGGGGAAGAAAGTACTGCAATGTTCTTGAACTGATAGGATAACCCAATAAGAAGAAATTAGCATTTTCGTGAATTCACATGGAAGTGAAAAGAGACTATTTTTTATAACCACAAAATCAAACTCGGCCAAAAGAAACATTTACTCTAGAAAATGATTTTGTCAAACAGTACTTTTTTCAGGGTGGAAGGAAAATATCCCTCCTGCACAAAAAAAGGATACAATTTTGTTCAAATTATCTATCCTTAATCGGCCTAAATGAACCTTTTTCTTTGAAATTATATTTTTCAGAAGAACACTTGAAAAAACAGATTAAACAAAGCCCACCGTCGCAGGCATTGAACTCGGGTGCGATTTTACTAAATATACTGCACGCTACCACAAACCCCGCCCACCGTAATACGTCATCTTCCTTCACTCATCTTTGATACACCCTGATATACTCGGCGTCAGCACATCGCACTAAATATACTGTGCTCCATCACCGAACAATGAATAATTGTTTGGTGACTCCAGCCTCTTCAACAAAGTAATGGTGGTAATGCATATAATTAAAAGTGAATAAAACATCGTTTATTGATTGGTATCATATACTCATTTACAGTGTGATGCGAATGTATGGAATAAATTCATTATTTCAGAGATGGGAGACTTGAAAAAATTCCAAAAACACGTGTTTCAATTTTTGAAGCCTCATCTATCGTCGTCTAGTTAAAGAAATACATCGATTGAAAAAGTTCTGAACTCTAGTTTTTGGATTTTTTTTCGAAAGTCGTCTAGTTTTGAAATGAATTTATTCCATACATTTAAAATTTAAATCATACTGTATATGATGACAAGAACATAAATGAGAAACCAACCCAAACAAAGCGAACATTATTAATCAATGAGTCTCAGCATTTGGTAAATTTTTCAATACATTTCCAATTAGATCATGTTTCCGTATGACGCTCAGGCCCTTATGTTTTTGTCGACGACTGATGGATGTAGGCTGTTTTCGGTAAAGCAAATACTTGAGATTAGGCCAAGAATGTCTTACAATCCATTGTGTTTTTGTGCTCTTGCTGAATCCAATTACTACATTGTGTAGCAAAATCAAGATTTTCCTCTCCTCGGTTCAGATTTGTTTGCATCCGCACATGAAAATTTGTGATTTTCTCAAATGAAACTACTTCCATCACATCCTTCTCGTGTAAATTCACGTATTGTTCTAACCAAGTTTCACCCATATCGCAGACAGCGAAGATCGAACAATAATGTATAAGAACTATCTAAGACCGTTGCGAGCAGGCGACTAAAAAAATAGCGCAGTATATTTTGTGCGATGTGCTGACTCTGAATATATCGGCACAGTCAACTACACCACGAGTCGTAGTAACTGTGGTAGTATGAAGAAATAATTTAGTTACTGTACCCGCACTTGCCGCGCTGATTATATTTGTTACCTCCTGTCTCTAGGCGCTAATATTCAGATTCGAACGAAGAAGCGATAACTAGCAACGCTGCTCTCCATTCTAAAATGTATGGCGAGTATGCTCCCCAGACGCTACTAGGAAAAACACCCTTGAAACTTGAAAGCCAAAATCACTACACAAATGATCACATTAGTCTGACGGACTGACGCAATCGAGGATGCAATGCTAGTAGTGGACCGTTAGGGGGTAACGTGGACCCTCCAGTGAACCAGAATAAAACTCCCCAATAAAACCCAGCCTCCACAATTTTATTGCCAGAAATAATCATCTTAAAAAAAAAAAAAACGCATCTCAACATATCACGTGATGGGAATGATTCGAAAGATTTAGGCACCTCTATCATTATCACAGTGACTCTAATTATCACTCATGATTTCTCTTAATAATAAAAATAATAATAAATCGTCTTTATTCTTTATTCATCATTTGCAGCAAAAAAAAAATTGTACAAATGAAAATCAAAAGACAAAGTTAATTTGCCATACCTTATATACCAATCTGCAATGGTGAATAGGCGGAGTATCAGCAGAAAGCTGTTTTTCAACTCAACCTCTTCTTTATATTGAGAAATCGTTGAGAAACTATGCTTCTATGACTACTACTAGTAAAGCAATAGCTCAGTGGTCTGTGTATCTGACTTCCACGTTGGTGACTGGGGTTCAATTCCTGCGAGGCATCAATTATTTTCACTTTTTTCACTCAATTCATTTTTCAAGAATATACTTTCAAGGAAATAGGTTCATTTAGAACAAGTCAGGTTGAAAGTACTTTCCTTATTTATGCACAAGAGATATTTTCCATCCTTATATTACCTTATAAGTCTTATAAACACGATTAACGGTATTAACCTTCTGATAACCTTGGGGTTTGAAAGATTCGCTGGTCTAGCGTTCGCACTTCGCTGTTGCTGTTGCCGTTCACTGTTCAGTTGGTCTGATGTTTAACTGTTTAATGTATAAACTTAACGTTGGTAGAGTGGCCGTTGGCTCAAATACATATAACATACCTCATTTCAGT